AAGCTCTAATGGATGACAAAACACTCTCTTGAAAATACCTAGTTTTTTCTCAAAATATATCAATTTGAGGAAGAATTGAATGAAGTATTATAACCTCAAGATAGGAGAGTTTAGGAGTGTTTGTTCATTGCCTAAGAATGAAATTTATAAAGGGGTTGAAGGAATATATCCGTTGGTCCAAGAAAAGGAGCTGTGATGAAAAGTGCAGCATAATAATCGATTAATGCAGTCTGAGCAAAATTCCTTCAGTGGACGAAATAATAATCAATTTTTGCCAAAGTGTAAAAATTGATATTTTTAGCAATAATGCCCTAACATGAAGGACACAATCATGTGTGCTGGGTGAAGTGCTAATTTGGAATTTAGAACTTTTTTAGGGCATGAAAATCATATCAATGGGCTCCCCAAAGAACATACATAATTCAAATTCAAAATTTGAATTATGAGAATATATTTTTGGTGTAGAAAAATGAGTACCAAAAATATTTTGTATGTCAAATGGTGTACACGAAAAATATTTGAACAAAATATTTTTGCTTACCAAAAATATTTTCAAATATCAAAATAAATATTTTGATAAATGTTTGACACACCTTTTGTAACTAACTCGATGAATGTATTTTGAACAATTAAAAAGATTTTTCAACCGACTCTGAAAATATATTATTTTTATATTAACTCTCATAAAAATAATTTTGGAGAGAAGATATTTTTGTCATTCTTACAATTATTCCTAAGACTCAAATAAATAAAAAAGGTCTTCGAAAATCTTCTACTCCTCCGAGTCCTCTGTTAGGCGCTCCGAACGCGTCTCAAACCACAATAAAATTTTGTACACCTTCTTTAATACTTCAAGGAATTTGCACTTCAAGTCTTCGTGTTTGTCGTTGTAGCACTTTGATCTTGACTTGAATAAAATGTTTTTGTCAATTATCAAAACCTGTGAGTCAACACTTAACAACACAGAAAGGGTTGAACTCATGCATTCCAACATAGGCTGCAGACCTGAACGGATTAGGGTATTACAAAAAAACTAAAATAATGAGAGAAATATTTATACTATGTTTGGTTCAAGAAATTTAAGAAGGAAGAAAAAGAAAATGAGAAGGAAAACATTTTTCTTGTTTGGTTAGAGAGGAAAAGAAAAAAATTGAAAAGAAAAGAAAATGAGAAAGAAATAATTACTAAGGGATGAAAAAACCAAATTCCTCCCATTTTGTAAGGAAAATGAGGGAAAAATATTTTTTTCTTTTCTTTTCAAATTCCTTTAACCAAACATAGTTTTAAGGGGAAAATGATGTGGTATGAGAAATAGAAGAGAGAGGAGGGAAAGTGAGAAGCTTTAAGGCGAGGCGGCACCCACTCATATCTTCGAGAGTACCTATACCATACATTTGGATGTACGTTATTTCCCGTATATGCGCAAGAACAGTCATTGTAGAGTAACTAAGTAGTCATTTCGAGTAACAAAATACTCATTTTCAAGTAATTGAATGTTCATTCTCGAGCATAAATGAATTTTAGAGAAATGAGTATTCAGTTATTCGAGAATGAGTATCCATTTGCTCAAAAATGAGCATTTAGTTACTCGTAAATGAGCACTCTCCGTGGATGTGTTATATATATATTAGTGCAATAAAAAAAACTATTTGATAAATGATATTATAGTAATCATCAAAGAAGTTTTGTGGTGCGGAGTGCACGCTTCGTTGAGTTTATTTTGATAAAAGTCCCGTTCGAACGAGAGTTCAGAGCACCAGGGTCCAAGGGGCAGAGCCCCTGGTTGGCGTCAGCTTGAATTTTTTTTACTTTGGACAAAGTCCATTGTTAAAAAATTAATTTGAATTTTGAATTTTTGATTTTCCTTAAAGAAATTTTTGGGAAAAATGCGTGCATTTTTCTAACGTTTCGCGCGACTAGACGCGAATTTTTGAGATCAAGGTATATGTAGTAGATTCCCTTTTCACTGTGGTTCCTATGTTTCAAATCAAACTATGTATCACATATATTTTCTCTTCAACCAATATTTTGTTTACTAGAGTTTGAGTTACATATCTATTTATGTAAGAGCTAAATCATTGTGGAGACTTGAGAGTTATTGATGAAGTAGAGGACTACTTTTTTCTATAGATAACCAGGTCTTTACCCTCCCCATACCCTGCTACTTTATGTAGGGTCAGCTGCATGGTTGCTGCTGAAGACGGTGGTGCTACTGTTGTAGAATGATTGGGATGCCCACTGAAGGTCACTCATCATGTGTTTAATATTAATGGCTGCAATTTCTTTTCCAAGTATTGCTTAATCTTCTAAAATATGGAGTATTAAATTTCAAACGATATTGCTGATGTTCTGAATTGCATTAATATTTTTTTGATTTGATACTTTATGTTAAATGAGACCCAATGTAATCATAATTTCTTTATCACATCAACCTAGAAACACCTCTATATCAGTGGGGGTAGGGGAGCAAAGATTATCAGTCGGGAAAAGGCACTTGCTCCAACAATTGTGCAAAATTTATGCAGTTTTTGTAAATATTGAAAATATGAAATTTCTTACAGGGAATAAATAGTGTTCAGAGAGACGAGACACTCTACAACTTTGTGTTCCAATTATGTATGTGCAGGTACAAACACTTGGATTTTAAAGCTTTGCTTCCGTGAAGGTGTATTAATCACGGTTAACTCGAAACTAAAGTCATGCACAAAAGCAAAATGGGAAAGTTTTAGGCCAGATGCCCTTCTTGTCCCAATCTTCGACCTTACGAAAGAACAATGAGATATTTTTTAAAATGTCATCACCATAGGTTAGGTTCTACTTGGGAAATGTCACGAGATGGTGATGAGTAAAGATATTTCCTAGTCACCTTCCTTTTCAAGATTGATATTGTACTCCACCATAGATCTTCCCACACACTATAACTCACTTTGTATGCTTATTTTACCCACTTATTTCACAATATATTAGTATTGTCACTTCTAGTTTTGTAGAACTTTTTATGTACTTTTTTATTATATAAGTGTTATTTTTAAATTTATCCTTATAATCAAATAAATTGAATTGAAAATAAAGTCGGTCAAACCTCGTAACGCGCAATGAGAAGATCTTTGGTGGACGGAGGAAGTAAAATATACCTGCAAAGCATGGAACGTGACAAAGGTTGAGTTTGGTCAACAACAACTACCTAGTAAAGTCCAACAAGTGGGGTAGAGGGTAGGTTTACACTAACCTTATTCCTACCTATCATTGCTCAGAGCCTTAGATATTGAGCTCAATGCAAGTTTATTAAGTGTCTTTGCTGCCAATGTTTTGATAGTGAAATATCGAAATATCCCACATGTCATATGCAATCTATAGTGTGAAGTTTAATGCTAAGGATCTGTGTTTGAATCACAAGACATTTTTCTGTGTAATGTAGTCCTTTTTCCTATGAGGGGTGGCAAAGATGGATTTTGTCTGTTAGTTAAAGTTGAAGATGTGAGGAAAAAATGATTTGTGCTAATGAATTAATTACACGTGATTGATGGGGGCGATCATTGGTTTACGCTTTCAAAGAAACATGTGCAATCTATCGACCTACCCAAGAAGAATTTTAAGATCATGCTATTCAAGCTATCGTGACCTTTGTTTCTAGTTTGAAAAATCTTTGATCTTTGACTGCCAATCAATTTTTTTATTGAGATAGGAGTCACTGGTGTTTTTTTGTTTTGTCCCTTTTCTTGTCTGTGATACATCTTTTTTATAATGCTCAATTTGGAAATATTTTTGCTCATGGAATCTTTATACCTTGCAACATCCGTCTTATATCTATATAATAAGAGATGCCATGTAAGGACTGCAGTTTGTCCAAGCATTTGTGAATCTCCTTTTATGCCAATAGCTAACTTCAAAGAGAATGTATTCTATTTTAAGCATAGCATCGTTTCGTTATAACTTATTCCATCTCACATCAGAATCACGGCACCTTGAGTTGGAAGTCTATCTCGAAAGGTCCTATGCAGTGAGACAGGGAGTGCATCGAGTGACATGCCAAGACACAAAGCAAACCTCTTACCTTATAACATTATTAAATATGTTCTAGTATATTACGTATTCATGTTTGTAGTAAACAAGAAAAGTTGTGATTTTTTAAAATGAAGTTATTTACATTAAAAGTCTGGTCTTCTAAAGAGCGTTACAGTTTCTAGACAGTAGTAGTCTGTTGTGGCCTATCGCCTGGATGGGTTTTGGCGGGGTTTAGTTTGGTCTAGGGACGTTAGGCTGGGGCCAATCAAGAAGAACTAGGTGGTCTTCGAGGTAGTTGAACTGCCTTGTTCTGACCTAAGAAGAGCTATATGTGGATTTTTAAGACAAAGGTTGGACTTGAGCATTGGTATCAAGAAAAGAAGCTAAACAATGAAGCCTTCTCTCACTACGAGCTTTGCTTATTGGTTCTTGACTCATGTAAACCTAAATCTTCTATTTCTTTGGTGCAGGGTTTATACCTGGATGTTAAATTTGAACTGGTAAAGTTGCCTCAAGAAGTTAAATTTTGGGATTTTCAAGGTACTTCAATTTGTGGTATGGTGTCTTTGCAAAATATTTATGTTCTTGAGCTTTGATTGTCAATAACAATACTCCATTTTTGTTCACTTCATATTGCTCTCATATATGTTTTCACTTATTGTATCTTATATGCCTTCACATTAAAGTCCCTTAAAAAGATAATAGCATGATCAAGTTTTTTAAAATTAATTAAGTCAGGGAACTCCAGAGTGTGCCTTCTAAATTCTAATATTTGGAAGTTACTGAAAGGAAACACCCATGATATGGCACTTAGGCAATATGCATGAATCAGATAAAAGCCTGGAGCTGTTTTATCATTACTTGCTCTTATTGGATACATGAAAAATGAGTATTTATACTGTGTAACAGCACACACGCGCGCACCCATACACACTGACATACACACTTTATTTGTTGTTTGTGAATTTAGCTGATCGCATGATCCATAGAGAAACATGATAAGAACCTCTTTATTGCTTCTCCTTCACATATGGGTATTCCTCACTTCTCGTCATCGCTCTCATCGCTGCTGCTGTCGCTGCCACACTCACAGTTTGTTCCTCTGTGCTTTTTCTTCCCTATGCTCTTCAGCTGGTGTTTCATCTTGTCCACCAAACCCTCTTTCTTCTCACAGGTTGCAGTTGAATTTTTGATACATGCAGTTTCATTCACCTGGTTGTGGTGGTGAAACACTCTCCCCGCCACCTCTTTCACCTTGTCTTTCAAAGAATGGTGTTGATCGTTTTCAACCTTGTGGCTGGTGACAACGGTGGTTTTTTGACAGACCGTTGTTTCCTCGACTTGCCTGTAGCTCTGCTCCAATGCCATTATTGAATCAATGCAGAAACGGGTGTGTATATAGAGAAAGGATATTCAGAGGTTTAGTGATGATAATTGATGACCTGTTTGGGTTTGACAGCTCTCAACATTCATGTACTCCGTATCTTATATAGGCAATATAGCTAGAGGTAAGCTATGTGTGGGAGAATCTGGTTCCTCTTTCTGTGTGGTCAGATTTATAAAGAATTTGATTCCTTATATAGACACCCCCCCCCCCAATTTTATGCTTTTGATGAGGTCCACATATATGCTACCTCGTGGAGAAGGTTCACCAAGGGCGGTAAGTGAAAGAGAATATGAGATTTTCTCAACCAGTGGTGGATCCACAATTCTCCCTACTTCGGTTATGAATCATCTCAAATTGACTCTTTTTGGTTTTTAAAGAGAAGTTAACTAAGGTTATGTTCGCCTTCAAAAAAAAAAAAAGTTATGTTCTGTCCAACTTATTTTTTTCTGTTTTTTTCTTATTCTTATTAAAATTAGATAAGATCAGATTATATCTAATTGGATCAGATTAGATCTAATCAGATCTGATTAGATCAGATGTAATCAAGAATTATTATTATTATTATTATTATTATTATTACTATTATGATTATGATTATTATTATTACTAGTATTTTGACCCGTGCCATGCACGGGGTCGAAAGAAATTTATGTCGATTCTAAATTTATTTTAATGAAATTTATTTTTCAGAATAAAGTAAATATATTGCTCACATGATTTTTAATACTACAAATGAAAAAAGCCAAAGTAAAATAAATAATATTTGAGGAACAGAATGTAGAGTTATCAATGTTTATTTTCATACCAAATTTTCCGAAAGATTTCAGGGTATACAACATTTTTGGTATGATTGCAAGGGTTTCTATTGTCATCTAGAACTAATATTTTTAATCCGGTCTTTGTCTTCAATCGTGAAACAACAAAATATAGTTGACCATGTGTGAACACTGACTTGGTTAAAAATAATCCCANTTCCTCAAATATTATTTATTTTACTTTGGCTTTTTTCATTTGTAGTATTAAAAATCATGTGAGCAATATATTTACTTTATTCTGAAAAATAAATTTCATTAAAATAAATTTAGAATCGACATAAATTTCTTTCGACCCCGTGCATGGCACGGGTCAAAATACTAGTAATAATAATAATCATAATCATAATAGTAATAATAATAATAATAATAATAATAATAATTCTTGATTACATCTGATCTAATCAGATCTGATTAGATCTAATCTGATCCAATTAGATATAATCTGATCTTATCTAATTTTAATAAGAATAAGAAAAAAACAGAAAAAAATAAGTTGGACAGAACATAACTTTTTTTTTTTTTGAAGGCGAACATAACCTTAGTTAACTTCTCTTTAAAAACCAAAAAGAGTCAATTTGAGATGATTCATAACCGAAGTAGGGAGAATTGTGGATCCACCACTGGTTGAGAAAATCTCATATTCTCTTTCACTTACCGCCCTTGGTGAACCTTCTCCACGAGGTAGCATATATGTGGACCTCATCAAAAGCATAAAATTGGGGGGGGGGGTGTCTATATAAGGAATCAAATTCTTTATAAATCTGACCACACAGAAAGAGGAACCAGATTCTCCCACACATAGCTTACCTCTAGCTATATTGCCTATATAAGATACGGAGTACATGAATGTTGAGAGCTGTCAAACCCAAACAGGTCATCAATTATCATCACTAAACCTCTGAATATCCTTTCTCTATATACACACCCGTTTCTGCATTGATTCAATAATGGCATTGGAGCAGAGCTACAGGCAAGTCGAGGAAACAACGGTCTGTCAAAAAACCACCGTTGTCACCAGCCACAAGGTTGAAAACGATCAACACCATTCTTTGAAAGACAAGGTGAAAGAGGTGGCGGGGAGAGTGTTTCACCACCACAACCAGGTGAATGAAACTGCATGTATCAAAAATTCAACTGCAACCTGTGAGAAGAAAGAGGGTTTGGTGGACAAGATGAAACACCAGCTGAAGAGCATAGGGAAGAAAAAGCACAGAGGAACAAACTGTGAGTGTGGCAGCGACAGCAGCAGCGATGAGAGCGATGACGAGAAGTGAGGAATACCCATATGTGAAGGAGAAGCAATAAAGAGGTTCTTATCATGTTTCTCTATGGATCATGCGATCAGCTAAATTCACAAACAACAAATAAAGTGTGTATGTCAGTGTGTATGGGTGCGCGCGTGTGTGCTGTTACACAGTATAAATACTCATTTTTCATGTATCCAATAAGAGCAAGTAATGATAAAACAGCTCCAGGCTTTTATCTGATTCATGCATATTGCCTAAGTGCCATATCATGGGTGTTTCCTTTCAGTAACTTCCAAATATTAGAATTTAGAAGGCACACTCTGGAGTTCCCTGACTTAATTAATTTTAAAAAACTTGATCATGCTATTATCTTTTTAAGGGACTTTAATGTGAAGGCATATAAGATACAATAAGTGAAAACATATATGAGAGCAATATGAAGTGAACAAAAATGGAGTATTGTTATTGACAATCAAAGCTCAAGAACATAAATATTTTGCAAAGACACCATACCACAAATTGAAGTACCTTGAAAATCCCAAAATTTAACTTCTTGAGGCAACTTTACCAGTTCAAATTTAACATCCAGGTATAAACCCTGCACCAAAGAAATAGAAGATTTAGGTTTACATGAGTCAAGAACCAATAAGCAAAGCTCGTAGTGAGAGAAGGCTTCATTGTTTAGCTTCTTTTCTTGATACCAATGCTCAAGTCCAACCTTTGTCTTAAAAATCCACATATAGCTCTTCTTAGGTCAGAACAAGGCAGTTCAACTACCTCGAAGACCACCTAGTTCTTCTTGATTGGCCCCAGCCTAACGTCCCTAGACCAAACTAAACCCCGCCAAAACCCATCCAGGCGATAGGCCACAACAGACTACTACTGTCTAGAAACTGTAACGCTCTTTAGAAGACCAGACTTTTAATGTAAATAACTTCATTTTAAAAAATCACAACTTTTCTTGTTTACTACAAACATGAATACGTAATATACTAGAACATATTTAATAATGTTATAAGGTAAGAGGTTTGCTTTGTGTCTTGGCATGTCACTCGATGCACTCCCTGTCTCACTGCATAGGACCTTTCGAGATAGACTTCCAACTCAAGGTGCCGTGATTCTGATGTGAGATGGAATAAGTTATAACGAAACGATGCTATGCTTAAAATAGAATACATTCTCTTTGAAGTTAGCTATTGGCATAAAAGGAGATTCACAAATGCTTGGACAAACTGCAGTCCTTACATGGCATCTCTTATTATATAGATATAAGACGGATGTTGCAAGGTATAAAGATTCCATGAGCAAAAATATTTCCAAATTGAGCATTATAAAAAAGATGTATCACAGACAAGAAAAGGGACAAAACAAAAAAACACCAGTGACTCCTATCTCAATAAAAAAATTGATTGGCAGTCAAAGATCAAAGATTTTTCAAACTAGAAACAAAGGTCACGATAGCTTGAATAGCATGATCTTAAAATTCTTCTTGGGTAGGTCGATAGATTGCACATGTTTCTTTGAAAGCGTAAACCAATGATCGCCCCCATCAATCACGTGTAATTAATTCATTAGCACAAATCATTTTTTCCTCACATCTTCAACTTTAACTAACAGACAAAATCCATCTTTGCCACCCCTCATAGGAAAAAGGACTACATTACACAGAAAAATGTCTTGTGATTCAAACACAGATCCTTAGCATTAAACTTCACACTATAGATTGCATATGACATGTGGGATATTTCGATATTTCACTATCAAAACATTGGCAGCAAAGACACTTAATAAACTTGCATTGAGCTCAATATCTAAGGCTCTGAGCAATGATAGGTAGGAATAAGGTTAGTGTAAACCTACCCTCTACCCCACTTGTTGGACTTTACTAGGTAGTTGTTGTTGACCAAACTCAACCTTTGTCACGTTCCATGCTTTGCAGGTATATTTTACTTCCTCCGTCCACCAAAGATCTTCTCATTGCGCGTTACGAGGTTTGACCGACTTTATTTTCAATTCAATTTATTTGATTATAAGGATAAATTTAAAAATAACACTTATATAATAAAAAAGTACATAAAAAGTTCTACAAAACTAGAAGTGACAATACTAATATATTGTGAAATAAGTGGGTAAAATAAGCATACAAAGTGAGTTATAGTGTGTGGGAAGATCTATGGTGGAGTACAATATCAATCTTGAAAAGGAAGGTGACTAGGAAATATCTTTACTCATCACCATCTCGTGACATTTCCCAAGTAGAACCTAACCTATGGTGATGACATTTTAAAAAATATCTCATTGTTCTTTCGTAAGGTCGAAGATTGGGACAAGAAGGGCATCTGGCCTAAAACTTTCCCATTTTGCTTTTGTGCATGACTTTAGTTTCGAGTTAACCGTGATTAATACACCTTCACGGAAGCAAAGCTTTAAAATCCAAGTGTTTGTACCTGCACATACATAATTGGAACACAAAGTTGTAGAGTGTCTCGTCTCTCTGAACACTATTTATTCCCTGTAAGAAATTTCATATTTTCAATATTTACAAAAACTGCATAAATTTTGCACAATTGTTGGAGCAAGTGCCTTTTCCCGACTGATAATCTTTGCTCCCCTACCCCCACTGATATAGAGGTGTTTCTAGGTTGATGTGATAAAGAAATTATGATTACATTGGGTCTCATTTAACATAAAGTATCAAATCAAAAAAATATTAATGCAATTCAGAACATCAGCAATATCGTTTGAAATTTAATACTCCATATTTTAGAAGATTAAGCAATACTTGGAAAAGAAATTGCAGCCATTAATATTAAACACATGATGAGTGACCTTCAGTGGGCATCCCAATCATTCTACAACAGTAGCACCACCGTCTTCAGCAGCAACCATGCAGCTGACCCTACATAAAGTAGCAGGGTATGGGGAGGGTAAAGACCTGGTTATCTATAGAAAAAAGTAGTCCTCTACTTCATCAATAACTCTCAAGTCTCCACAATGATTTAGCTCTTACATAAATAGATATGTA